ATATATTTTGTTTTATTTAATATTATTTAATAAATATTAGAAAAAAATAAGTTTTATGTATATACAAATATATGTATTTAATTTTTATATTCACTATGCACGCTTGTAAACACGTTTAATACATTTGATTCAATGAAATCGCGGTTTTTAGTTTACGCGTGTTTATTATATTTATTTTTATTTAAAAAATATTTATTTTATAACTTTTTTATTTGAATTAATATGTTTTATTAAAAAAAAATAGTGTTTTTTCGAAATTATTATTTATATTATTTTTTATATTTTTATAAGTAAAAGTTCTATAGCTTCAGAAATCTACAAATTAGCAAACAAAAATAAGAACATTAACGTTTGCAATTTATATTTAATTTAATGAATATTTCACATACGTATATGATATTGTCAAGATTATATACATATATACATATATATATACCAACATATACATATGTATGTGTGTAAAACCAGAATTGCTTGAGCATCCACCGTATTCACCAGATTTGACTACCAGCGACTACCACCTCTTCAGAAACCTGAAAGCTCTCGTGGAAAGCGTTTTTTAACGAATGAAGAAGCTATTACAGCCGTAGACGGGTATTTTGCAGAGCTACCGAAAAGTTATAATAGGGATGGCATTAAATTACTGGTTGATCATTGCAATAAGTGTATTGAAGTTAAGGAAGATTACAAGTATATTGAACAAAAATATATTTCGTACCAAAAACAGTATTTTTTCATTTGGAGCGCAGTAACTTTTCAACCAACCTATATATGTAGGTAAAACAGTGCATTTTACCATTGAAAAAATCTAGCTATTTACAAAACTACAGAAGAATATTTTATTAATATTTTTCAATAAAAGCGAAACACCGACGTAGAAGAATTCAAAGACATTGAGGTGAAAGTAGGCATGACACTAAGTCTAACCAGTGGAACGATGCCTAAAAGGTGTGATGCCCGCAACAGCCGATTCTATGTTACCGGAATTGCTACCGATTTGAATCTTTCGGCGATCCAACCCTGTATGGTTCGGCAAGTAGTAAGGCACACAGCGTATCAAAAATAGCAAACTCTACTTCGAGAAAATCATTTATATTGCAAAAAAAAAAGACCAGAGCAGCCAAAATAACGCCAACATAAAACCATTAAGGGTGGCTAGAGTGCAATCTGCGTTACAAGAATTATGATAGTTGGCTCCAAAGGCAAACAAAGCGCTGCTAAGTGCTAGTCTATATCGACTCGAACGATATATAAATATATTGTTTATTTAAAACTTTTTTTCATGTTAGGTAAATGCGGTTAGTTATTACTTAAATACTTATGTTCAGGATTGCACCACTTAAAAACCGAGTTCAAGGACATTTTACTAAGAAGTACCCACATAAACAGTCTCATAATTTTTATGATCATTGTGCGATTTGCAGCGCCGGAAAAATTAATTTATAAATACAAATAAATCTATATACATACATATTAGGGTGGAGTGAAAAAAAATATTTTTTTTTGGCTTGGCCTAGGATAAAATTTGTAGAAGATAAAAAAAAAAATTTTTGGAAATAAAAAAAAAATTTAATATTTAGAGGCTTTTTAAAGTAAATTTCGAGTTACAATTTTTATTTCGTATAAAATTTTTGATAAAGAAGCTGTGGTGAGTCCTCTTTCAGACCAATTAAAAGTTTTCAACTAAAAAAAAATGTTTGTGGCATTATATGAGTTTTAAAAAAAGTCTTAAACAGCAACATGCTTGCCTTAAGCGTTAAAATAAATTTTGAGTCAAAAACCGTGGAATTTGGTAATTTTTATATAATTGTGAAGAGTTTAAACCAAAAAAATTTTTTTGTGGTCCAAAAAATATTTTTATTCGAAACTTACTTTAAAAGTGGGCCCACTCCTACGCCTCTAGATGTTAAAAAAATTTTGTTTTTCTTTCCAAAAATTTTCTTTTTTCATTACCTACAAATTTTACACTCAGGCTAAGCAGAAAAAAAATTTTTTTTTCGCTGCACTCTAATACATATGTATATACATTTGTATATAGTTCAATTTGCGCATTGAACCCGTCACATTTAAGTACTTGTATGTGGCACAGTTCAATTTCGTACTTCGCAGCCGCCGCTGCTCAGCGTGAACGAGTTTCAATTAAGAAGTCAGGCGATTGCAGAAGTAACGCGAAGATATCTACTACGTACATACCTATGTATCTATGTAGCTATATTCGTAAACATATATATTTTTCAAATTATATAAAGGTTAGAACGTGCAGTTACTGGCGAGGCACGCAAGTATTCAAAGAAATTTGACATTTAATTGTTTACGGCTTTTTCCATAATTTAAAATTTATTTCAAAAAAAAAAAACGACTAGAAGCACACATTCAATTGCAATGAATTTCGGTTTAGCTAAACTTTGCTACTCTACGTTTTTGAGTTAACCGTTTCTCGTGTTATTTCAAAATTTTATTTTATTTTTCTGCTTTTCTTTATTTATTTATATTTATAGCAAATTTGTAGCATTAATTCCACTTAATTGTTAATCGTTTTTAAATTGTTTGTTTACTGTTTATGGTCACATACTTTTCGCATATACTGTCGGTATTTTGCAAATAGTAATTTTGTCTGCGGAAGCGCTTAAGTTATGTTTGTTTTTGTAAAATTTTGTTTTTGCCACATTTTTAACGATTTTTTGTGAAGAATTGAGACAGCCACGTCTCGTTACTCCCCTGGAACAACCACAACATGCTACGTAGTAAACAAGACACCATTTGGACGAAGGCGCTTTCTGCGCTATATGACGCATCACCGGCTTGACAGCGCCGCCAAAGCCACAAAGTCATTGGCAAGCGAAACGACAAACCGGAAAAATTCAGTTTCATTAGCGCTGTGCGTTGTTTTGGTGCTTTCGGTGGCGCAGTCCACAATCGTTATGCAGTAAAAACGATAAACAAAGGTGGCAACTAAACGGTTTTATGTTTTCATCAATTGCATTAATTATGAATGAGTTGGGGGCGTATGGTGGATAAGCAAACGATAAATAAAGCCACAACAAACAACCAAAAAGCAAAACTCATTAAAAAATTTTCTATTTAGGTTATGTAATACATACAAACTGCGCTGATCTTGCTGAGGGAATGAGCTGATAAATGCAACTAAGGAGCGGCATAAAGATAATTGTATATTGATATTAGTCAATTGACTACGCGAACAGATATATGATAAGACCTAAGATACGGAAGTGACTAGTAAAATAAAGCGGTCGTTGGTTACAAATTGACATATCTAGATAAATATACTTATAGATTAGGTGTAGTAAAAAGAATAAATCCATTATTTTTCCAATAGATGGCGTATTTATCTGTAGTTAGCGTTGCATAAGTGCGATCGGGTTCGGCTACATAGCGTTAGAAAGATGACGTTTCGCACTAAAAAAACTTTTCTGACAGTTTTGTGATTGGTTAATTCAGCTTGGTTTTAGCGCGCGTCAAAGATGGACACTAGCAAAGAGAAAATACGCTATATTTTACAGTTTTTCTTCGATAAGTGCGAAAACGCAAGCCAATCGGCTGAAAATGTGCATAGCGTTTATGTTTATTCTGATGCTGTAACAGCCAATTATGCGCAATTTTGGTTTCGTCGATTCCGTTCCGGTAATTTCGATGTCAAAAATGCATCACGCTCTGGAATAACAATTATCGAAAAAATCGATAAAATAATGGAAATCGGCGAGTCCAAACATCGATTACGCTTGTCCAGGACCCAAATATTTCACAAAAAATGCTTTAATTAAAGCATTCAATTTCATGCAAAAATAATGGATTTCTTTTTATTACACTTAATATTATATAAATATTAGGGTGGAGCGAAAAAAAAAATTTTTTTGCTTAGAATGCGGGTAAATTTTGTAGATTATAAAAAAAGAAAATTAAGGGAAAAAAATTTAACATCTAGAGGCGGCTGCCACTCACTTTTAAAGTAAGTTTCGAGTTAAAATTTTTATTTCGTAAAAAATTTTTGATAAGTGTTCTAGAAGCTTAATTTATTAACTTAAAAAAATTGTTTGTGGTCATTATTGGAGTTTTAAAAAACAATCTTAAACGACAATGTGCTTTCCTTAAGCGTTAAAATAAATTTTGAGTCAAAAATCGTCAAATTCGGTAATTTTTATATAAATATGAATAGTTAAAAAAAAATTTTTTTTTATCCAAAATTTTCCTTTTTTATAATCTACAAACCCACAGGCTAAGCAAAAAAAAAAATTTTTTTTGGTCCACCCTAATGAATATGTATATAGAGCGCGAGAAAAATCACTGAAGTCAAGTTTATGTGCTTGTACTGGAACTAAATTAAAACTTCCTTATAACAAAAACAAAACTACACCTCATATCCTAACTTACTGGAAAATATCTTTAATAAAATCTTTATATAAAACTCTGGCTACAATCGACTAGACTTCGCATATAACGGCAAGTTGCGAAAAATTTATCTTTTTTTCTTTCTGAAAGCCTAAATTAAAGGATAAGCCATGGTAATGCGAATGAAAAGCTATCGCTCTACAAACCAGCCTTCTCTGACGCTCTTATTGTAATCTAACGACTTGCTTTGTTTAACTCAGATTACTTGACGGCTGATTCTGCTTCGGACAAACAATTAAAGTTAGGCATTTGTAGATAAAGCGCTCTGCTTGCTCGACTGCTGCTGTTTGTCAAAAATATGAAGCGGCAGTCAACTGTAGAAGTATGCGTTAGATATCTTTGCGCAGGCATTCACAAATTTCATTTTGTAGTAATTTATATAAAATCAAGTTACAACGACGCTGTCCAAATATCGGTTGGCCGCGGGTCGTTTTGTTTATTCACAAAGCACATTTCATTCATTTATTGAAAATTTTCCATTCGAATGCCAAAACACGCCATTTCTCTTTAATTAATTTAAACGCGACAGATTAGAACACTTTATTAATTAACGTCTGTAATGTTTGCCTTTTTGTTTTTGTTTAATCAATTAGATAAGCGGCAAGTTCAAACTGATATGCTATCGTGACGGGAAAACTCTGTCAGGTAATTCAAATTTTTATTTAAACTAAATTTCACTAGTTCTAAGTAAGTGTGCGCACATATGTATGTATGTCTGAATGTACTTAAGTAACAACAATGAATTGATAATAACTAAGATGAAAGCACAGTTAGCTAAAAAAAATCAGATATTATACAAGGGCACAAGCGTTACAAAACGCGTTTAAAGTTTTTAGTGATTATATAGCTGACCTCGAGCACGCCACTTTTCAAGGTTGTAACTCTAAAACTATTACTGGTATCAACTTGAGCATTTCGGACGATATACTAGCGATTTCATAGAATTAAATAAGACAATAAAATTGTTTTTGTTTTTTGAAGCCGTGAAACCCATGTAACCCTTAAGGTTCTACATGACGTATATTGCTCATTCATTACTTTGCTGTTGGTTTCCTAACATGAAGAAAACAAAATAATAAACCAGCAAAAGTTATTGATGCATTCAAAATGCAATTTTCGGGTCTGTCTTGATTAAACAGCGTAGAAACATTCGAAATTTGGTTAAAGCGTATGTTAAACTATTTATTTACAGGTCAGAACTTGAGATAGCAGTTCTCTACAACCTTTTGAACAGATTATAAAGCGGATAATAAGCTACCGCGACAGTCTAGTCTGCGTCACCGGAACGGACCCGGATTTTTATGCGGCTAAGGACTGTCTGGGCACTGGGCGCCATGCCTCGAAATTACTTCAATAATGTTTTCTGCTGCTACAAAAACCACAACAACATAATAAAACGATTTTTACGTACTACGAAACGAGTACCAACGCATCACTTAATATTTGTATGTGCGCTTTTTCAGTGCTTCAGCGCTAGCATACGAGTACATATGTACTTATATGTAGTTGCTATAAGATTGATTTTTGGCACATTTAAACAAAATGTTGCACTGAGTGAATACGTATGCGAAAACGCAATTTATTTTAATAGATCATAACGTCTGTGGATTATGCTGTTGTTGCGCGCTTAAGCAATTGAAGTTGTTTATAACCAAATTCACAAACGCCTCATCATTTAATCAATTATTTAATTTTCATTTGCACTTTTTTTCCAATTACGTGTTGAAGTCTTTTAATAAAATTTAAACCGTGAAAAATTGTTGTTTTGATTAATTAATTAAGGCGCGCACAAAAAAAAAAAAAAATTGACGGCGTTTAATAAATAAAATAAACGCCGACAAACCGTGAGGAAAAAGAAAAAAAATTATAAAATTGAAAAAAGTCGCCTTGTTGTGGCGCGATTAAACGCACGCGCTTAGTGTCGTCGTTGGACAGTGGCGCTATTGTTGTTGTAAGCCTTACTGTTGGTTTTTTCTTTCGTTTTTTTTCTGCTATTAATTCGTTTTAATATAATTCAATTCCAAACGCTTTTGCAATTGTGGGAATTTCATCAGCGTCGCTGTGCCGATTTTCCGTGTTTGAGTACCGCGTGCATTTATTCGAAAGGCTGCTTATAATACGGTATTGTTTTTTAGCTGTATTTAGCCGTTAGTTTTCTCACTTAAACTTATGCACGCTACGTACGCCTGAAAAACTGATGAAAATGCATTGAAGCCGTTAATAGCTTTTCACTGCATTCAATTCTATTCAACGATACGCGTTCGCACCGCTTGGCATACGCTAGAGATATATTGAAAAACTTTATTGTAGATTTAGAGAATTCAGCTGGGCGCAAATATTTTTTATCCGTTTGAATTTTCGTACTCGTCGTTGGAGCGTTATGTGTCGCGGTTAATGTTAAACTGTTTAGCTGATTTACAAGTAAATCCGACAGTCGTCGCTCCAAAAACACAGACACAAACGCCGCCAATTCAATTTGGTGTATGCAGCCCCTTGGTCCCGATTGCCCCGTCCTCGACCGATCCAACAACCAAACAACTAACCAACCAACGGTACAACTGAATAAACAAACGGTGTTTGGCGGTGCCGGACGAATGCACATTACAGTTGTCTATGTGCGCACTACAATTACCTATACAATAAGTATTTTCTGTGTCTGTTTGTATGGCTGTAAGTATGCGTGTTTGCATAGTTGATTTGTGTAGCGCCTCGTTGCCAGAGCTCGGCTTCAATGCGCTAAATCTGATTATAATGCGATCGTGTAAATTAAATCTGCTCATCAGGCATTGTCAGCGGGCTTGATCCGTTGATCTGTTGATGTCGTTTGTGTCGGCGACGACGTTGAGTGGCATACGAAAGATATGGACAATTGAAAGCAAGAGCGTAAGCCGCGATGAGTAAGTTTTCAATTTCGTGAAAAATAGTAAATTTCCATAGTGAGACCTTAGTCTTAAATATTTCTTATATGCGTATTAAGTCTACACAGTCTGTTGGTTTTAAGACCGGTGTAAGGCATACTCTTCAATGTCATGTTGAGCATAAATTTTCCGTCTGGTAATGTTCGACTCTGAAACGTTTATTTTATTCTACTTTTTTCAGTTGTTTGAAAGGCGTTTCGAAGTAGTATGTCTTAGATCCAACTTCACTAAACCTTAATGCTCTTGCGTTGGCACGTGCTATAAGCCATAGCTTAGCATAGACGATGACAATCGATAGTCCGGTCGCCCGTTCCTACGACAGTCGAGTCTAGGTAAGGAACGGAACCTGATTTTTTTACGGCTTAGTACTGTCAACTCGGCAGCATTGCTCCAAATTACTTTGGAGATGTTTTCTGTCGCTACAAGAGCAACACAATGTAATATAAATCAACACATTTGTTGAGTAATTTGCCTGTTTTCAATACATTTGAGCGGAAGACGGTCACGGTACAATAGAGAAATTCTTTTCATTTACATTCCTGCCATATTTTGAGCTTACTGACTGTGATCTATCATCTTTAGAAGTGTCGTCCTGTGGTCCCTTGCCCAAATCCTCTGGTTAACCTTTTGATGCCTGATCCAAAAAACGATCTACAGAATTTTGATCTTATTGATTGTGATCTATCATCTTTAAAAGTGCCGCCCTGTGGTCCTTTGTCCAAATCCTCTGGTTAACCTTTTGATATCGGTTCTACAAAACGGTCTACATGAGTAGACCTTCGATCTACAATAAGCTCTGCTCTTATTCGGAACTCGGCTAGCGGTATTCCCATACCGAAGAGTTCAGCTTCAGCCTATATATTTGAGATTTTCTTAGGCCGTTGTCTTAACTGTCTACGTCAAAAACTGACTACCAGCAGCAAATTAATACATTTACCACTCGACCTTTGTTTTTTTTTCTCATTATAGGGGTTCATTGTTCGATCTTTATTTTCTTCTTTACATGAGGTTATCGAACTTCCAACTCAGTCTAATAAGCACACGTAAGCATACATGCCACGATCGTCGCCATAGGACGCCACGCGTACGACGGGCGACACTGTCACACCACAGAAACATACATACATATGTACATATATTACATGCTAAGTACATATGTATATGTACATATTTGTTTTACATATATCAATCAGCATTTTCAGCACCATCCACCTGCATTACCGGCAACACCCACTGCCTCACTCAACAATTTGTTTTTGCACATGCACACATACATATGCCTAAGAGTTGAGCTGAGTAAATGACTGCTGCGTTAAAAATTGAATTAATTCAATGAATTTGCATTGTAAAGCGGGTATGTATGATAAAAAGGCGCAAAACGAGCGATGTATGCACATATGTATGGATTTATGTATTATGTGTGTATGTATGTATGTAGTAAATGTGATTGAAGGAAAAGTGTACCCAGTCAATTTGCTTGTAATATACATTTTATAGTTGGAACTTAAAGAACAAAGAGTGCGTATACATACATACATACATGTACATAAATTGAGATATTGTATATCCGTGTTATTTTCAATATACTTGAGTTTGCAGTATTGTATATTTTCGTGTGTATACAATTACATACATACATATATACATATGCACATAAATATGCTAGTATTAACGTTATCATATCGTATATGTACATACATATGTATGCATATACGTGCATGCCGTTATCATATCGGTAAGCCACAGTCCATGTTTGGAGTTCGTGCACATTTTGACGTACTTCAATTAATTAATATAATATGAGACAAATTGTTTCTTTGTTGTTTGTGTTGTTATTTTGAAATCTTATGCGATTCATGTGTTCTACATGTGTACATACGTATGTATATATTTGTATAATAGATGGCTGACACCCCGCATAGATCGCGTATGCCACGAAATATATTATATTGTATATATGTACATATTTATATGTATAAGTACATATGTATGTATATGCAAGTGTGTTTATATTGTGGTAATAGCTGACAAGTTCGTAAATTAAAGTGTAATTGAATTCAAGTTACCCAAATGAACTCAAGAGCACTCAACGCTACTGTGAGTGCTGCTTCACAATTTTCATATTAAATGTAAGAATTAATATACTAAAATTTAAATTGCATGTTTCTAAATTAAGTAAAACTTATAATAGTTCCGGCGCTCAAGTGTTGAATTAAGTTAACTAAATAACATACCTTGCACTGCATCTCTTCACTATCCTTCCATATACATACGTGTATGTGGTTGCCCAAGCGCCCGCGCATTGTATTTGTCTAGCACGTTAAACTACTTGCTAGCGCTAAGTTGTAGCGCGCACATAACAACATATACACAGATATTTACAATACACACACACATATTAACACTTATAATTTATATATTTATAACTAATGAATTATTAATTTTCCCCGGAGCATCTCTATGGCACTAGCGCCAATTCGCTACGCACATAAACACTTATCGATTTGGCATTTTATGGCGCTACATACGCACACCCTTTTATTTTTACTTGCACTTTGCCAAAACATTTTTGCACAATTTTCACTATGACTTTAAACATTGACGAAATAAATTAGGACATTTAAATTGCACGCCAAAATAATTTCAACTGTCAAAATAGCGTAGTTCTGATTACAGGGTGATGCCGATGCAGCTATTCAATGGGTGAGTTATGTATTGTTTAACAATTATTTAATAAATGTTACGATTCTGTTATGCATTAATTAAATTATGGCTATACAGTTGTGTCTGCATAATTCATTGATCTACTCTGCTTGATTTTCTCACACTAAGCCACTAATTATTTGGCGTTTGTAAATATTTTTTTGTTTGTTTGTGATTGTGGTTTTGCTACTGCGGATTTTTTGGTGACTAAGTCAGTCATGGCTACTTATATGTAATACTCTCGTCTGCACTCTCCTACCTTACTTGTTCGTCGTTGCTATCTATTAGCGCTGTGTAAATTGAAATTGCACAAAACAGTAAACAATTAAAAAACGTTACGATTTAAAAAGAAGAAATAGAAACCCGGCCATTGTAATGAGGTGCAAACAACAGAATCTCATTGCGGCCTACCGTGAGGCTACGTTCGCTTTTTTAATATTCATATAAGCGGAACCATGCGTTGTTAAATTCAATTCTAAGCGTTGGTTTCCAGTTAATACCTAAAAGTATGCAACCTTTATAGAAAATATCAGATCTTTATCTGCCGAAATTGATTTTGGATTGAACCCCTATATACGGCCGGCTACTACGAATTCGGTATAGGACCACAATAATTCGACCAAGGACTCTACGAATCCAGTGTTAGATCATCGAAATAACAACACTTGACCGGATATCCGGTAACGTAGAACCGGTTGTTGTGGGAATTGATTCACTCACCGATTCAAACAGGCTTAGCCAAGGACTCCGCTTGGCAGCATTGCTGAAAATTATTTCGGAAATGTTTTCTATCGCTACAACCGGACATAATTTCATTCCATTTTTAATAAACAAACCAAGCGTCATTAGCCATATTAAAATAAAACAAATATTTCTTTAAAAAAACAGCGTTCAACTGATTTATTGAACAAATTTTTGCTACAGTATTTATCAAACTTTGTTGTCTGTTAATACCGTTTATACAAAATCAAATTAACTGCTGTCCTCCTCTTATTCACTCCCTTATCCACTTAGATTACATCTATTCGGAACGCATCATCTTCTCCTTTTGTCGCTGCAACTTCTTTTTCGACAGCTTCTTCTTGGCTGGCTCATTTTCAGAAGCCTTTGACACGACCGCTTCCTTTTCGGTGAGGATTACCTCAACGTGGCATGGTGACGACATGTAAGGGTTGATACGACCATGAGCACGGTATGTGCGACGACGCAGACATTGTGCACGATTCACTTGAATATGATCGATGACCAGACGGTCGACATCGAGACCTTTGCAGTCGGCGTTGGCTTCAGCGTTACGCAGCAGCTGCAAAAGGAACTCAGCGGATTTCTTTGGCCAGCGACCTTGGGTGGTCTTCCATTGCTTGGCTTGTGCGCAACGACCAACACCACCGTTGAAGCGACGGAATGGAACACACTCTTTCTGTTCGATGACGGATTTCAAGTAGCGCTGGGCACGACGCAGAGGCATGCGTTTGATAGCCTGGGCGGTTTCGTGAGTGTTCTGAAAGAGAATAGAAATCAATTAGTATAAGACGAGAGGATCATATTTGTAAATTAAGTATAATCTTTATTTTATTCATGTGCGGTAGGTCAGGTAGTAGCTGCGGCGTTTGAACTAACCAGCGGCCACTGTTTTCCTGCAGCATACATTTCTTTTAGCATTTTAAGAAAGAATTAAGTATTAATGTCTTACCTAATTTTTTTAAGAAAAAATGCTATAACATTTTCTCAAATTTGTTAATAATTGTACAATAGAACAGGTAGTGATAAATCGCATTTGTTGGCATATCTACCACTGTTTTCAAAGCGCCGCCTAACGCATATTATGCTAAAAAAAAAAATTTAACTCGGTATCTACAGAAGACGTGCGTTTGGTTATCGATAAGTAAGGAGATCGGCTTATATTTGTGACACAAGTTCTAGATGGCAAATCGCAGGGGTTAGCAAGTCGCCAGCTGATGCTTGGCCGCAGCCTATAAAGTGCTGCTTATTTAATCTAGCATCTTTGCAAAAGTGTCACTAAAGTATATTTCTTTCACGCACTGATTTAAGATGCAATTTAAATATTTAGTCTATTATTATTTGTTCAACAGGACAGGTAGTGATGAATCGCAGTGTTAGGCGTATTTACCACTGTTTTCCTGCTAAGTTAATGTAAGCATAATTATTTTAGAAGTACACAGGAATATTTCATGCACTTCTTAACGCATATTATGCTAAATTATTTAATAGGTAATAAAAGTTTAGGACTTATCTTCCGAGTTTAAAGATAACCAAGTAATTACGTTTATGTTGCAACTGTAGCACAAGTTCTAGATGGTTAATCGGAGTAAATGACGATTCCCCAGCTGATGCTTGGCCGCAGGCTTTTTCGCTCTGCTTACTTCCTCTAGCATCTTTGCAAAAGTATCAAGAAACACATAGTTTTTCAAGCACTGATTTAAGATGCAGCCTTTAAAAGCTTCCAGTCGAATTTTGCCATGTAAACAATATCAATGTATCAAAATTCGTTTATATTAATGCAGTTCCTTTTAGAATGCTACGCCATCACTTGAGAATGAATAGCTTATTATGTTAATACACCAAAACAACACTTATTTATACACAACATAACTACGACAGAAGAATCACTCACCTTGAAGTGCACACGTAGATTAGGTCCACGCGCCTTACACGATTTTGTGGCATTCTCTGGTTCCCGCGAGTACCGTCCCATTGTTGTTTAATTTCTGTAAAATTGCAAATACACATTTCATAAGTATATTTTAGCCAGCCATATAAATAGCTATGTTAATTGTAAGTTGTATGGCTTGGTTGTTCAAATTTGGACAAAATGTATATTGAATGAAGAAAACCACACTTCAGCATTTGCACTTGGGCACATATTTTTGGTTGGTGTAACATAATTTACTGGATGTTGAAGAATTTTATTTTTCACTTCGACAAAATCGTACCTTCTTCGTGATGAATTAAACCGGAAAAGAACATATTTGACAGCTGTCACTTAGTGGGTAAGGCAGTGCAGTTCAAAGCAAATGACAGTCAAATTCAACATGGTGGTTGAACTACAGGGTTGCAACGGATGTCAAAGTAGAAGAGTTCATCTACACAGTGTTTTCCTTTAACCTAAAAACTCAAGTGTGAATCAATAATTTGACATTTATATGTGATTAATTCGATTACTTTATATGTTTTGATTGTTTTTATTCATTAAATTTTAATTTGCATTCTGTTAATGTAATAACATCAGAGAATGTAAAATATAATCTACATTCTCTGATAATATCAATAATACATTGAGGCGATATCTCAGCGACATCTAGCTCTTATTTTGGTATATCAAAATGACATTTGGAAGTTGACAAGTAACTGCAGTGGGGGTTGAAAAAATCAAAACCACTGAAAACCAAATAAAACGCATCTGACTTGTCTTGTTACAAGACCAACAACAACTATTACAAAAACAATATTGAAAGTAACTAAAAGGGTGGTGGTGGGCTGGTTTTGAACATACGTGCAGTAAACAAGCGTTCAACTGTCACCGATAAAACAAAACCGAGTTCGAGTTTATTCGTTTCAAGCGCAGCAGTGATTGGGGTTGAGAGTGGCTGTGACGGCGACGAGAAAAGCTAAGCCAAAAATAGGAATAACTTGACGTGCAAACACAGACCAAAGCGTGAGCTAAACAAATTGGAACAGAGGAGCAGCTACTCAGGATTCACAGCGGTCACAGCAGATGTGTTGTTGTGCTCATAGTGTGCAGTTCAATAAGTGTAATTTAATATTAGCACCATATTAGTGCCGGGCTGTTAAATCAGCATTTTGAAAATAGTGTTTGTATTTTAGTGTGTGCGTTAAGCTCCAAACGCTGGCGAAGCGTTTGTACAAATATTTCATCAACAAGATAACGCACAAATAGAGTCACAACAACCAGCGGAAAAGTAAGCGACAGCAAAAACATAAATCAACGCTTTTACTAGCGTTGAATGTGACAAAATACGCTAACGGTAGTGGCCAACTACTAAAGGAAGAGGAAATATTGCGCACAACACAAAAACTGCTACAACTGGTGAGTGTTAATTTGGCAAAAAAAAATTGGAAATATTAGTTATGTTAAATATTTGGACATACTCAGATACATAATGCTTGAATTACAGTAAATAAATGTTCGTGTTTGCTTTTGACTTTTGCTGTGTGAATAAGTTGAGTTTGAAATCGTGCAGCTGGCTAATCGCATGTTCGGCTTAAGAACCCGTTCTGAATGACATATGTGTCAGACTTGTACAACCCAGACAGCTAGGATTTTGAGACACATTTAGATATGCTCAGTTAATTTTGGAATTAATTTAAAATTTATTTAATTTTGACTATTTCACATTAATTTAGTTTCCTTTTAACTTAACTAAAATCTCCTAATCTGACTTTAAACAGGAATGCACGCCATATTGTGCTGCTCAATCGATTTCCTGCAGAAACTCATTACTTAGATATGAAAGTTATTGTTGGCTTGCATATTTGTAGCTGGCGCCTAAAGTTACACTTTTTCTATGACACGCACACACACTGTTGCAATACAGGTAACAGCTTTGGTATACTGTTAAAGTAAGGGAGCGTTCCTCAGCGTTCAATGCGCCCTTTTTAAGTCTGCCTTCAGTTCATTTTTACGCTCTTACGCTCTCTGTCGCTCTTTTATCGGCAGCCACAGTAAAGCGAACATTAAAAATACGACGCCGTTAGCAAGCTCAGCAGCGTCATACTCACGCACAGTTACTACCCCCTGCTGCAGCGACACAGCTCGGCTTTGCACAAGACCTACCACCGCTATCAACGTCACCCCACAGCACGGTCTGTAAAGCGCTTAGCGTGTATGTGTGCTCCCCAACCAAGTTGGGTTCAATATGTTCACCGCACTCGGCGTCTAAAACGTGTCTTATGAGTCGCCCAGCAAGAAGGGCTGCTTGCCTCCCAGCCGCGTAGCTTGTCTGTGTGATTTGTAGGCAGGCTTGTGCCCGAGTTCTGAAACGCGGTGCCAATTTTGTGCTCGTCTTAGTGCTTCGGCCACTCCTCGTTTTCTATTAAAGTGCTTTTTTTGTTTTTGTGTTGTCGGCGCTATAGCGAAGTGTGCTACCAGCGCTCAATGTCCTGTCGTCATCCAAACTGTTTATCTGTCTGTACTAATGCCTCTGCCGAGCGCGCATTTTAATGGCACATTGTGTTTTATTTTCTCGATTATGACATCAACTTGTCTATTGTCACACACACTACATGCATACACACATATATGGTACATACATACAGACGTAAGTCAACGCGAGCCAGGCTCTTCTCATTCCACCTTCCTTATGTTCCAGTTTTAGTTGGTTTCAGCGCTGCGCCTCAAATGACGCTTTGGAGTCCTTTCGCGCGCCTTTGTGATTTGATGATTGCTTTGTACTCAAGGCAACACACACACACACACGCATACATACATATATGCATCTAAACACACATGTGTATTGTCACCACAAGCCGACTGTTGCTTTCGAAGTTCGCTTGCACTTATTATTCGCGTTTGCTTCGATTTTGTATCTGCCTGCTGTGACCAATTATCTGATTTTGCCTATACCCACCGCTTTGCACCTTCCCATATGTCTCTGCCTTTTGGCGCAAGACATCATTTATGAAAATTCGCTTTGATTCGTAGCTCGGTTTGTCAGCCACAGCTTTGTCGTTATTCTACGGTTTCGTTGGCTTTTTACTTCGGCTTTATCGCCGTTTATCCTTGTGGTTGTTTGGTTTCGGCTTTTGTTTTTGCTTTACTTCGACTGCTAGCGGCATTGGCTGCTTGTACCTTGCACCGATTGGATTGTTGTGAAACTGTAATTTTTTCCACGTCATGTCTCTGCACCACCCACACTCCAACCCTCACTTGGCCGCCTTTTATATTGCTTTTATGTCCTCGCTCGGCATTCAATTGCTATCGATTAGTTTCAAAAAGTATCAACTGACTGAGCGACTGCGGTCAAACCGAACACAAATATCTGGTGACTTAGTGACGTTTATTTGCTCATTGCCCGGCTCGTTTTAGTCGAAAGGACGGCGGAGAAATGTAATAGACGCTGTAATGTAATTAGCGGGCTTGGAGCTATGTGAATGGTATAATATGTAATTTTATTATGGAGGTTATATTAAGTTTGCCACGAAGTTTGTAATACTCAAATGGAAACGTCGGAGACACTATAAACTATATGTACTTGTATATAAATGATCAGCATGATGAGCTGAGTTGATTTAGCCATGTGCGTCTGCCCGTCTGTATATGCGCGCATTAGTCCCTCAGTTTTTGAGATATCGTTCTGAAATTTTGCTCAAGTCATTTTCTAGCCAAAAAATTGCTCATTTGTCGAAATCGCCGATATCGGTTCGCTATAGCATATAGCTGCCATACAAACTGAACGTTCAAAATAAAGTCTTCGTATGGAAAGCTTTTTCATTGGACGAGATATCTACACGAAACTTGGCATAGATTATTACTCACTGTAGCGCTACAATCTGCGAAGAAATTGTTTAAATCGGCCCACTATAGCATATAGCTGCCATACAAACAGAACGAGCAGAATCAAGATAAAGTACTGTTTAAACGCTTTTATGGTATAAGAAATGCAACTGTGTAGGGTATTATAGCTTAGGTGCTAGGGGTATGAAAGAAGAAACTTACCGTTATCAAAACATGTTCGTTAGCTAAAGCTTTACTTCTCATTATACATCGTTTCATATGTTTCAAAATTCGATTCAATAATTTTTCTTGCTAACGGAACACTGTTTTTTTGTTTCGAAAATATTATTTCAAAGCTAAAAAGACTAAGTATGTTATATTTTTTAATTTAAAATCCGCTTTCAAAATATTCCATTGAACCTGTACATTACTTATCTTTATATATTATATCTATCACTCCTTGCCATCGATTTTCAGCAGCGACACAAGTAGCGAGTGCTCTCTTTGCCACTAATGTCTTACACTTATACTCAGCCTCGATCTCTGCCTGCAATTTGGTTTATGGCACGAGCTGTCGCTGCGCCGGTGTGTATGTACGCCACTCGTGCTTTTATTGGGGAAAATCGGTGATTTCATATAATAACCATAGCTATTGTTGTTGCTCGGCTATTACAATTATTGCTACTGCACTCATACATTTGTATATTTTATGCGTGTTTTAAAAATAAACGCTCAGAGTTTGTATACTGCAGGCGCTCAGCCCCAGCAATGCACTTGTGCGCGCTGTTTTAGAGGCCTGTATGTGGGTGTGTGTGTGTGCGTGTGTGTCTGATGCTGCCTGTGTGTAAGAGTATACCTTTGGATCGCATTGCTGATCGTGTCTTCAATGGAACGATCAAGGTTTGGCTGTGTGTGCTTTTTCCGTAATATATTTGTGTATATGTGTGTGTGTGTAGATGTGTGTGTTTGCTAGTCGAAAGTTTTCAGTCACACAATATGTTGCTCGTGCTGATCGCTGCTTCAACTTAAGGTATCAAAGACACAGCGTCGACTCTACGTGGCAGGCCAACAACACACACACACACACTCAATTGGCTCATGGCTGCGTGCAATTAAATGTTTAACGCTTGCATGTGGTAGTAGTGTGCTGTTGGTCGTGTTGCGCTTATTCCTTTTGCCCGAGGCGTTGCTCGTGTGGTAAATCCAGAGCTCTACCCCGTCGTCTTCGCGCCGCGTTGCGTTGGCTCGTCGCTGCGTCAAGTGCTGAGATGAGTTCAGATTTATTTATGGCTTCCTAGAGTCGTGTTTCGTGCACTTTACTTTCGTTGCTATTTACCAGACTGCCATAGTGCGATAGTGTGGGCTTGTGTCTTGGGGAGGTAATTGAACTGATCTTAAAATAACACCTAGACAAAACGCAGTTCAATGCTACTCGGCGGCCGGCGTGTTTCAAAACAAAAAAAAAAAACCTTGAACATTTTGTAAGACTCCGCTCGCACGCCTCGCCCTGCACGCCGAACTTCTAATATCATTCGTTCCAACACCTAAGCATTGTAATGAATTTATGTACGCATGTTTTGCTTTAAGCATGCATTTTCGTTTTTGTAAATATTTCAAAATCTCTTGCTATTTTTAGTCCGAGATTAGCAATCGCACACGCTCTGCAGCAATATTTTTGCGCCTGCACTCTCTCGCTCTCGCGCCATGCGCTTAACGGCACATTGTTTTTGTTTTGGCACACGCTGTCTCGAAGTTAGGCATATGTTAGTAGTCGCCGTTGAGTTGGTTAGTCCGACAGTCAGTCGCTCGCTTGGGCGCTGAGTCACATCGCTGTACTAAGTAATACTCGTATGTGGGGCCATTTGGTCTTAAAACGAAATGCTTTCGTTATATATTCTTCGCTTTTAATGACACACATTACAAAGGCGTTCACATACAAGTGTATATATGTATATACTCACATATAGGTATATAAGTATGTATATGTTATATACATATTACGCCTAAATTATATAAACAATTTTATAGACATTTTACGATTTTTCGAAATTTGTTTGTTTTTATCGAAATTACGATTTTTTGTTTGCAAGATGCATTTTGTTTAAGAAATAAACTAAAAGTATATAAATTTACAGAATTTAATGCACTTTAGTAATCTGTGGTTAATTTTGAAAAATTGTTCATTGCGGAAATGCCGCGAAATTCAGGTCCGCAAGGCCTCCGAAAGAAGATGTCTGTCAGTGAGAAAGATTTTTCTGCTTTAAATGAGCTAAAAACCAACAACCAAAAAAATGTATGATTACCATAGCTGAACACATGTAATCAACGAGCGTTTTGTTAAAATTTTGATTTTTGACAAAATGGCGGCTTAACCAAAGGGTTAGGTTAGGTTAGGTTAGGAGGCTGATCCTAAGAAAGATCTCACTTGAACAGCTATCCGTTGCGGCTAAGTCTTCTGTTCCGCCGAGTGTATGATGACCAAGATGTTTCAGTCTCGGCCTTGCAAAAGCCGGACAGTGGAGGAGAAAGTGCCTGGTTGTCTCCCAAAAAGTCGACTTTTGTGAAAAAAATTACATTCCTTGGTTTATTATCTG